AAATGTTTGCAGTTTCAGGTGGTAAGGGTTCAGGGATTTGTGTAAGGTCCTTGCATTTAAGAGCAGGGGTTTAGGTTAGATCTATGAATCTGCTGTGTCAGGATTCATCAATTCATCACAGCCCGTCCATCTAGTCTTGAACCAGTTGGGGTTCCAGCCTTGGTGACGGGACTGATTATGATTAGACATCAGGGATCACCGTTGGTGACGTGACTGACTATCATTAGACATCAGGGAGCACAAGCAAGTCCCAAACTAGCCAACTCAGTGATCAGCGAGAGCACCAGGCACGCAAGACCAAACACGATCTCATCAAGCATCGTGCCAGGAAACCACAACTGACCCCTCGCAAAGGAGATGCATCACATTCCATGAGCGAATTGTCAACTTGAGCACTAGAAGAAGCACAGCATGCTCATTGAATAAGCGCACTGGACAAGCACGAAACTTACAAACTCCCAGACGCGTGCAGCAAAGAAAATAGAAACATTACATCAAACACAGCGGATGTGGGAGGTTCTTGCATCATCTCAAGCTTCAGCTGAGGCTTTCTTAGTTACAGAAGAGCAGGCCCCCCAGACCCCAACCCAGGCCTCACCCCGCCAGACCACCAGGCCAGCTTCTTGAAAAAGGGTACGAGCACGAACCCCCCCCACTTCCTGGTACACCGCCACATGCGGATTGTGCCCTACTGTATCAGGCTGCATCCCATCGCAAAGCCTTCATGACCTCTTCGCATCCTTTGGATCTCAAGCGCCCTTCTTTCAGACCAGAAGTCCCCCTGCTCGAGGCGCGATTGCTCGCTGCCTTCCGACGCGAGGCCTCCAAGACATGAAAGTTTGTCGATGCTGACATCCTTGAGTGGGAGGTTCAGCTAAATATTGGCCCCATAGTCGGTCCAGGTCGCAATCTTGAGCTGTACAGGTAATGAAAAGGACCCGAAGTCAGATCTCAAATTCAAAAGTGAGGGGCGGATCACTGCCACTCATTAAACCCGTCCAGGTTTTGCGACATCAGGCAAGACGTTCAAATCGCCAGATGGCTCGAGGTTGTTCTTCTTTCTCATTCGGAACCATACATGGACAATTTGGATCGCAAAGGCGGTGCAGCAATGAAGGATAAGGCAGTAGTAGCAAGTCCAGTCATCACCTTCGAGAGCTTGTAGCCATTCCAACGGATCCGCCTTTTGATGGGCTCTGATATCATCTACATAAGCCCTGACTTGGATGAGAGTCTACTTTTCTCGTGCTACGTAGGCTCAACATTCAAGATAAGTTGATATTTGGAAGCAATGCCCCCAACAGGGTGAGATGCCCTACCCCACAGCCTGCAATCCCCATTCCTTGCATGTCAGGCCCCCGAAGAGTCTTCAGACGGCTATTGCCGTGGAGTGCCAGGACTCCAGTGCCTCAACCCTTGTCGCCTGGAACCTTACTCAGCTTGGTCTCTTGAGGTCTCCTACCCAATCACCGGGACCATGCGCATTATCATATCGATACCATCCGTCTCCATTGTCGACAAGTGCGAGCCTGCAACCAAGAGAAAGTAACTTCCCTTCATACATGCCTGGAAGAGTCCGGAAGCTGACGTACAATTGGACGACCTTCCGAATTTCTCATTTTACGCAGGGGGATTTCACAGAGGCCTCTACAAGCACGGTTCCTGTGTGAAGGCTTTCAGGATTATCAAAGGGCTTTCAAGGCCGGTCCCTAACTAGAGTACTTGAACTAGCCCACGTTTAGGGATTCATTTCGCACCAGTGGTATGTGAAGTCATGGTTTCTCGGGGAGTATGCAAGATCCTTCATGCCTTTTTTGTTGTTTGTTTTGGAGGGGTGCATTTCCTCGGCCCTCAGAAGTTATGAGATGTGAGAACGTTGTTGTACGCTACAAATCACTATGTGCAATCTCACTTTCCTTCGTGGTCACTTGGTTTTGTTCTTTCTACGATGGGCCTCAAGCCACACCATGCAATGCCCTCTTGAAAGCAATTACCATAGCAGGTCTTCGAGCAGGAAATTTTCCTTGCACTTGTAGCACTTGATGCAGGAGTCTTCGAGGACATCATATCGGCCCCCATGGGCCTTTTGGACGCATGCGTGGGGTTTGCAGCAGCAGGGCGAACAATAAGAACTGTTCAAAGCATGCGCGCCAAACAGATTTGGTGGCTTCAGCCCCTCAACCCGCAACCCTAGTACAAAGAGCAAGGCTCAGAAGCCAATCAGGTGTCTGGATGGTTGTGCCAATGTTGGGGGGTGGGGTTCAAGAGCTACGCACGACAAGAGCGTCAGCAACAACCACATTATTGTCCAAAGACCCCTGGAAGCAGCTACACACGCTGTCTAAAGGTGTGCTCTGCGATTCATCTTTTGCTATTGGCTCTTCGGGTTGGCACGGACTTCAACATGAACAAAGCTCCAAAGCGAGCCTCTCAATCAAAGTCTCTGCTATAGCTTTCTTTAGCGGAGTCCTTTCTCCGGCCGCTTCATTAAAAGAGTCGGTGTTCAGGACTTTAGGTTCTAGGGTTACAAGCATCGCGTGTTCACGGTTACTGATTGTTGTCTTGGCTATCCAAACTACGTGAACCCCAGCAGCCAACGGGTGAATTGGAAGTATTCGACTACAGTAGCTTATCAGCCATAAGACTCAAACTGCGCACCCTAAACTCTAAAGCCCAGAACTTCTAAACCCCTCCCATGCCCCTGTCCCCATATACCTCAGCAGCCACAAGCATAGCCTGATGATCCAAGCCTCAAAACACCCGAAACTTTACACCCACACCCAGAATGCTAAGCCCAAGCCCCGTACAGAGCATGGTTGCTGCAAGTTTCATCGTCTCCGCACCCATCCTTGTAAGAAAAACCCTATAACTAAAATATGACCATGATCGGTCCCGTTGGGGGGTTGGGGGATTCACTTCAAGGTCGTATCTCGGAGCTGGTGGCTGCCCTTCCCGGCAGTCAGCGAACAGCCAGGAACTGCGGTGAGGCTGGCTTAGTATAAAGGTGCTTTGAAGTCGCGACGCTTTAAGGACATTACTTCAAACGTGGAGGAGTTACACTGTGATAGCAGTGTCTGGGGGTTGAAGGTTTAAGCTTGATCTAGATTTTTGGACGAGGCAAGGGTTTGTGAATGGCTTGGTGTCTGCAGGCATTTCTGGATTTTCCAGAGTTGACGCATTGGAATTTAGAGTTGTCGGATATCAGGTCTCCAAGCCTGCTGGTTCACCAAAAAAGACCATGATGGTGTTTCTTACTGACGAGAATTACGGCTAGTTCAGGCAAGTTATTACCTTGCAAGGGTGGTATCCGGGAGCTCCTGAAGCTGGTAGTCGAGGTTTCAGTGCTTGGGACTTGAGGTTTGGAGGGCTATGTCATGTAATGGCCAAAAACCCCATGGGTATGACATGTTTTCTATCTCTCACAAACTGAAAAGCGCTGGTCGCCAGATTATCGAACCCTAAACCCTAAAGCATCCTACGCCCAAAACTGAGGAGCACACATCCTGCGGGCAAATTCACTTGTGGTCACTAGGGAATGAACGAATGGAAGGTAGGGGATTGTGCGGGTTTAGGGTTGAGGGACTACTGTAAGGGTCCCTTCTCCTATTCACTACTTACCGCCAGCAAGCAGGGTGTGTATCCAGACCTGGTAAATTCTATCTCTTTTGATAGTCCACTTCGTTTCTGGGGTCATTCGACAAGGAAATGGGTTTCCCAATTCAAAACAGTCAAGAAGCTTCTCATAGAGGTCTTAAGTAGCAGTACTCACGCAGCAACCCGTGCTGATAGGTAATTCTCACAGACGGCTTGTTCTCAGTACCTCCAACGTCGAACGAAACTGAAGGCATTGCACAGATCTCTGAATTTGAATATAGATTCTTGTGCTTTTGCATATGCAAGGCTGCCCTGCCGCAGCCCGCAGCAACCACAAAGCCAGCGCTGGCTTAAAAGAAAGCACATGCCTCTTCCTTTGGTGCTATAAGGTTTAGTATAGGGTTTCGGAATATTAAGATGCAACGGGAACTGGGATCATATGGTGTTTTATTGGGTGGAGGCAGCTGGTTGTGGCCATTTAGCCAAGTTGGGCCTCAGGTTGTCGCGGCGGGTTAAGGTTTGGCCTTGCCTTGTCGGGTGTTGGTTGGTCAATCGCGGGTGGGAATGTGGTTGAGTAAACTCAATCTACTTGTTGGAAATCGTGAAGCGCCTTGGGATTTCAGAATGGCCGGGACACCCTAAACCTCATGAGTCCCGCCCACGAGGCCACGTTGACCTGGCCAGTGGGCTTGATTGCGGTGAGTATAGGAAGAATCGCTGGCAGACAGAACAAGTGTCGACACCGAGCAGGCCCCTAAGAAGGACCCATGTTGATGTTCCCTCCTCTATTCCTTCCATAGCTGCATAATTAAAGCCTAAGCTCACCGAGGACAGGACAGAAGCTACAGAAGCCAAGTTGAACCATCCTAGCTGTAAGGAACATCCTCGAAGAGCGCTTTCCAAGTGACTTCCTCCCTGGGTTGACGAGCCATCTAAACCACAACGATAGACATAGTGATAGCAGCACTTAGCAGCAAGAAGGGCAATACTGCTACATGTGTTGATACTTGCATGACACTGGGAACGTTGTAGTGGGAAAATTTGGTAGACTGGTGTCATGCAAGATTTTGATATCCGACAAGCAGAAGACGGTGGTAGCAGTGGTGGTGGTTCAGCAGTAGCGGAGGCGGTGGGGCCGGTGTACATATATATATATTATATTATATTATATAGCAGTACCTGTTTGACGGTTTGGCAAAGACGTTATGAGTCGATGTCCCAGGTATTTCGCAGAAAAGTTGCGAGGTCTCGTTTCTCATCATGGACCATTCGCTTCATAGAAGTTTCCTTAGCCTATTCTATCCGTTGTCCCATCCAATTTGTTTACAGTACAAAATTCAGTGGAAGCCCTCGCCATCCCCAGCCTGAAAATCACCAAGCTCCAGACCAAACTCGCCCATCTGCAGGACTTGGGCATGTGCTTTCCCTTTGCCAGGGCCTTGGGTCTGTTGAGTCTTTCTGTGCAAGAATTGGGGATTGTGTATGTGACTCTCTGCGTTGAAGGGTCGGCGAGATAGCACGACATCTCAGTTAGGGTTTCCTTTCACGGCTGCCTGTCCAGATATGTATATAGGTTTGCAGCTCATCAGATGAGTAGTATTCAATTGGGGGATACTATGGTACCCAATATAGAGTAAGATTCTATCCTCCTTTTGGGGTATACTTTATCATATAACGAAAATTATCTTACTAGGTTCAACCACCAAAAAAACGTTACTCAGATGGAAGTCCTTCAACCTGCGAGATGCTAGCCAATCTTCTCATGCTTCCCGTTGGAGGTCAAGAGTCACATGCTTATTGTTGAGCAACCATCAAACAGGGGTGAACCACAGGTGGCCTCCACACTCTTGTGGGTAAGTAGGTTGATTCTGACATGGTAGGCACGAGGTTTCGGTTTTTCACTGAATTCATGTGTGGGTTGCTAATCAGTCAAGACACCGGCCAGGCACACCAGCACGGTCTGCATTCCAGGGCTTGGAGCAGAGCTCATCAGCATGCATTTGGGTGTGCTTAGCACACACACGCACACCGGAGTTTTGGTGAGAACTCCCGATGAGATGACTCCGCACTCGGGCCCGTCGTTGACGTTTTTAAGCAGGCCATAGTACACGCGTATGGCCTCCTCATACAGTAGTCCCGCAAACAAGAGATTGCAGCTTTCCCGGCCCTTGAATCCCGAACAAGTTCGACTGAACCTTCCAGCGATACTACAACAACGTGACCCAGCCAGTAAACAGATCCAAGCGTGAAACAGTGTAAGCTCTTAACCTTCAATAGAGGTGCGGCACATGAGGGATCAGTTCAAGATGAATGTCTTGGCGGTGGAGTGCCCCTCTGACTGCTGCCTAGTATCTGGACGACTATCCCCCTAGAAGCCCAGACAACACGAGAGTGGGCTAATAGTAACAACAGTCATAACAGTAATAGTTATCGTAAAAATAACAGCCATAGCAATAATATACACAATAGTCATGCTAGTAGTCAAAACAATACTTGCTTTGAACTAGCTTGCCTAATTCAAGCTGGTAAGCAAGGCTTCAGAGGTCCCCTCAGAAAGTATGACGGCGGCTTGGCGGGAAGATGCTTCCTTGTGGTAGTTCCTTGCAGGGGTACTGTAGCATCCATAATGATAAGCACCTGTGCGATTGGGCGGGCTTTACTGTATTGGATTCGATATTGATGTGGTTGCAATTTATAGTGTTGGGGTTGGGGGGGGGGGGTATGTACGTGTATATATATATATGCATATACACGGACACTTCGATCTGTATGGGCTTCAGATAAAACCTGCCACATTCAAGAAACATCTCAGATGAGTTTCTGGCCAGTGTCCAAACAGCTGAACTTGAATGATGCTGTTCCCCTTTCAGGATATGATTCGTTATGAAATGCCTTTTGGATTATGTTATCCAGACGTAAACGCCTATTTGAGAAAAGTGGTGATCGTCCTTGTTTTGAATTCTGCGTTGAGTACAAAGGGACAGCAGATTTCATGACTTCATACTTCATGGTTCCGAATCGAGAGGGGAGCGTTTCAAATACTTGTGATTTGCACCAGTTCAGTGTTGATTTGGCAGCTGTGAGCTGGCACCGCAGACGGACAACGCTTTAATTTGGAAGTAAATTCTACTGTGACTGGGAGTAGTGCCCTATTACGTAGCCAACCGGCTTCAAGTGTTTCTTGGAGCAGGGATGAGTGCCCAACCCAGGCTTTAAATTGCTGAATCCGGGCTCTTGAAAGGCTGCAACATCCAGTCTTAAGCACAGGGTGTGATACAGTTGAGAAACAGCCAACGAAGCCAAATGGACCAGAACAATACTCGGGGTAGGTATCCTGGTTACGGTCTGCTCCACGGCATCTCCTCTTCCTCTGAAGCCGCATTGAAAGAGGCCGGAGTTTTGTATCTAGGGTCTGGAATTCAAGGTGTTTTAGAGGGGGGGGGGGGCGGGACAAACCATATGAAGCATGTAGTGGTTCATAGCGTATTAGGGTTTCGTGGATCTACTCTGTTCTATTGTTTTGCGGGATCCGCCTGCCTAACCAGTCCTTTCCAAGATAGATAAAGCACCTTTCCCCGGCACTGCAGCAGCCTGGCTTCAAAAGTGACTACTATAGTATATTGGGGTTATATAGGGATAATTAATGGAAAAGAAAATGGAAACTACTGTAGTATATTGGGGTTATATTGGGATAATGGAAAAGAAAATGGAAACTACCATAGGGCTTCTCAATAATTGCTGCTGCGGAGTTTGACCTTCCGCATGCTTCAGTCCTGTGGAACTCTGAAACTTGCAATGTCTAGCAAGGTTTCTGAAACAGAGGCTCCAAGTTCTAGAGTTTTAGGCTTGTGGGGTCAAGCTGCCTCAGTGTCGGCCCTCAGGTGTTCAGAGCACACGCTAGTCCCATGTTAGGCAGCGCATGTCTGTATTAGATATTTAAGGTATGCACTTAGACCGGTATGAGCAAAGTGTCCAAAACATCAGGATCCATATTGATTATCCTGAGCTTCCCGGGTTCATGTTGGTGCTCCAACTTCTGAGCAAGAAGCATTCATATGCCAAACTTGTTTCATGTGTGCGGGGTCGGTTGGGGGGGTGCATCTGAGAGGTGTCAAAAAACGCTTGGTAAGCGCTTGACTCGAAACAGGGTAGTCGCTCGGCAACTGCTCGGCTCTGTATACTCCCTGAGCCTTGCTGAGGCCTTGCTAGGGCCATTCAGACACCCCCTCCCCCAACGCACCCATGATTGTTCCTAGAACTGGACCCTGGGAATTTCCATTGCGGTCGGGAAGGGTG